GGACCGCGCGGCCGTCCCGCGCCTCCACGGCGAAGCGGATCTCGCGCACCTGCTCGTAGTCCAGGGCGCGCAGCGCATGCACCGCGCCGCTCTCCGCCTGCACCGACAGCCACGACGACAGCGGCGCGCCCTGCAGCTCGCCCTCCGCCAGCCAGTACGTCACCCGGGCGTTGTCGCCCCAGTCCGCGTCGGCCGCCCGCGCGCAGAACACCGAGGCGCCGCGGGCGTTGTTCTCGCTCACCCACACGCTGTAGGCCGCCTGGCTGAAGGCCGGCGCGTTGTCGTTCACGTCCGACACCTGCACCGCGATCGTCGTGGCGGACCACAGCGGCGGCGCCCCGCGGTCCCGGGCCGTGACCGTCACGTTGTAATCCGCCACCTGCTCCCGGTCCAGGTCTCTGGCCGTCACTAAAGTGTAATATTTATCCAAGGATTTCTGCAGCCGGAAGGGGACGTGGTCCGGGATGGTGCATGTGACGGCGCCGTTCTCTCCGGCGTCCTGGTCCTGCACGATCAAGAGGGCGATCACGGTTCCTGGAGGGGAGTCCTCGGGGACGGAGCCGAGCAGGGAGGTGATCCTGATCTCGGGGACGTTGTCGTTCACGTCGCAGACAGAGATCACGACCTTCGATGTGTCGAAGAGGCCTCCGCCGTCGTGTGCCCGAACCTCCATTTCATATAACGTGGATTCCTCGTAGTTCAGTTTCCTGAAGACCGTTATATCTCCTGTCCTAGTGTCCAACTGGAATACTTGGGAAGCCTGGTCTGTGATTTGCGAGGAGTATGTCACGTCTCCGCTACCTCCTTCGTCCAGATCCGTGGCTTTCACTGTAGCCACCGTGGTCCCGACGGGCACGTTCTCCCGCACGCTCACGCGGTAGAGCGGCTGGGGGGCCACGGGCGCGGTGTCATTGGCATCGAGCACCACCACGTGGATCCGCGCCGTGCCGGAGCGGACCGGATCTCCGCCGTCAGTGGCGGGGCGGGTGGGGGGCGGAGCAGACTGCGCGTCCCCGGAGGGGCTTCTCCAGCACTAATTCGGGGTATTTAAAGCCCCCAGATGCAGTTTGCACTTTCAGGGAGAAATGTTTGTTACTGCTCAGTTTGTAGCTTTGGAGAGAATTAGTCCCCAAGTCAGGATCCTGAACATTGCGGAAGGGAAACCGGGATCCTGGGGCTGTTGTCTCACTGACTTTTAGCTCCATTTCCCCTGTTTGGAAGTTGGGAGCGTTGTCGTTAATATCTACGATTTCAACTTCCACTCCATACATCTTCATGTCATGCTCCACTATAACCTCGCAGTTCAGCAGACACTTCTCGGCCCGGCCGCACAGCTGCTCCCTGTCTAGCCGCTCTGCCGTGATTAAATGGCCGCTCTTTACATTCAAAGCGAAATACTGCGTCCTACCTCTGGAAATCACACGCACGCCGCGCTCCGACAGCGCCTTGGCCTCCAGCCCCAGGTCCTGCGCGATGTTGCCCACGAAGGAGCCTTTCTGCATTTCCTCGGGGATCGAGTAGCGAATCTGTCCGGCCGCAGCGGCCCCGCACACGGTCAGCACCACGCAGCACAGCACGGTTCTCTCTCCGCAGCGCCGCAGCCTTTGTGCTCCGGAACTGGCCATGGCGATCCGGAGGATCCACTGCCTCTCCGCCGCCGAGCGCTGCTGCTTGGAGATGATCTTGTCCGATTGTTTCTGACAATATCAGGTGCTAATTTTTCAGCCGATTTTCGCGAATAGCCTGCACCTACAGTCAGTCCTGAGCAAGTGAAAGTCTGAGCTCTCTGTGCTCCGAGCTGTGCGGGGCGGCGCTGGGCTGGCTGGATCTCTCGGCGCTTTTCTCTCCCTGATTGGTGAACAGCGGCGCTCAGAGTCTCAACCAATAATTGCAGCAGCTTGTTAATGTGCTTTCAGTTCTACAGGTGCTTCTTTCTCGTGGGAAATCAACTCACCTGATTTTCCACCATGCCCTTCCTCACTGTGTTCCACGGAGTACATGAGATACATTTCCTATTTCAGGATTCTTCTTTCGTATTTTTTTAAACATAAAGTCTCTTGGGGATACTGTACCACATGAGTAAGGGCTGCTATGAAATAAATCGTATTGGGTCATTTTCTGATGTGTCAGTCTTGCAATCCTTTACTCATACTTCCTATTTTGAGAAGCTATAAGCTCCTTGGGAACGGAAAGAAAAATGTCATATAGCCAAACCGCTATAAATAGATCTATTTAAATGAGACAGGATTTTCTTCTTTTGTGGTTGAAGGGACTGTGTGGTCACCTGGAAACAAAAAGGCTGGCTGTCCAAGTCTGGGTGTGGACAAGTGGTTCTAAATCTTCGTTTCTGACAGAACGAGAATCAACTGTCTCAAGTTGCAGCAGGGGAGATTTAGGTTAGAAAGTATGAAAAAAATCTCACTCTAAGGGTAGTAAAACACTGGCACAGGTTATCTGGAGGGGTAATAGAATCTCCATCCTTGGAAGTTTTTAAAACTCAGCTAGATAAATCTTTGGCAGGAATGATGGTGTTGAGGGTGGTGGGGCTTTGAGCAGGGGGTTAGACTAGATGAGGCCCTGGAGTCCCTTTCAACCCTAATTATCTATGATTCTATGACATGAAGGCAGATTTAGTTGCTAGGGCACTGGACGGGCCCTAAAATATAGAGATTTTTCTCTTACAAATCTTTCCCTTGAGTTCAGAACCTTACCGCTTCTCCGGTGACTTGTCTACACACTCAATCCCGCCCAGATAACGCGATTAGAATACATTGGCTCTATTCGTGGTGCCTGCTTAGATACAATCCAGAATAACACCTACAAAAATACAGTATCCTAATGGGCTCCCATACCACATAACAAGGAAGCTGAGCGCCTATTGTCTTTCAAAAAGGATAATCCGATATAAGCAATGAAAATAGAACTCACCGCATCGGCGATCTCTAATTCAGATTTCAAGTCACTACATCCATTGCTCATAAGTAACGTCCCAGATCTGTCCCTGCACAGAATGTCCTCTGCTACAGGGGCACGCGGCTGCAGACCAGAACATTCACCCCCCTTCGACTCAGAGGACAAACACAGCTGGTAGGAGTAGGGCAAAGTGCCGTCTTCGTAGGTCGGCGGGAACCAGGGGCCGCGCTCGGAAGCAGGGGCCGGGCCCAAGCACGGGAGCAGGCGGGGAGGCCTTGACCCCCGCAGTCTGTCCAGGACGGCCAGGGCGACGGCCAGGAGGAGCAGGAAGGACACGAGAGCCAGCGCCAGCACCAAGTAGAACTGCAGGGCGGCCGCCGAGTCCGAGGCCCCGGCCGCCTCGGCCCCCGCCTCGGCCCGCTC